GGCGGAGGCGTTGCTCTCGTCGCGGGGGCGGCGGGAGGCGAGGAGCTGCGGCGCTTGGCAAGCCCGAGCCTTCGGGGGGAGGCAGGCAGGCGCGCGCGCGCGGGAGGGGAGGGGAGCGGAGGGCAGGGCGGCGCGCACGCGCTCGCCCCCGCTGCGCCTCGAACTTGGCCGGGCGCTCTAAGCAAAACAAAACAACCCCCTCCGGTCAGGACTCCGGGGAGGGGAGGGGAGGGGAGGGAGGGGGCAGAGCGAGCGCGGAGGGCTCTCTCTCTCTCTCTCTCTCTCTCTCTCCCTCTCTCGCCCGCCCGCCTGCCTTCCCTTCTCTCCGCGGCTGGCTGCGCGGGGCGCTATAAGTGCAGGCGGGCTGCGGAGGGGCGCCCCAGACGAGCCGCGCGAGGCCCGCCGCCGCCGCCGCCCGCGCCTGCGCCCGCCTGGACGAGGCGGCGGGGAGCGCCCGGCCCGGCCCGCACTGACCGCCCGGCCGTTCTCTTCCCTCCCTCTCGCTCTCCCGGTGCCCGCGCCCGCCCGGCGGCATGATCTCAGCCATCTCCAGCCCGTGGCTGACGCAGCTCTCCCACTTCTGCGACGTCGCCGCGTTCACGGCCAACAGCCTGAGCAGCCTCAACGCCTCGGCGGCGGCGGCGGCGGCGGCGGGCGGCTACCACCACCTCTCCCCGTCGCCGGGGGACCCGTACGGCCAGCATGAGCCGCCGCACTACGAGCCCTGCTCGGCGCAGCAGCAGCAGCAGCAGCAGAGCCACCCGCCGCCGGCGCAGCAGCAGCAGCAGCAGCAGCAGCAGCCGCCGCCGCAGCCGCCGCCGCACCACCACGGGGGCCAGCCGCCGCCGCCGCCGCTGCACGGCTACCGCTTCGCGGGGGGCGCCGGTTCCAACCCCGCGCCGCCGCCGCCGCCGCCGCCGGCTGGCCCCGACGGCCCCGAGGGCGGCGGCGGCGGCGGCGGCTCGGCACCGTCCTCGGCCAAGGCGCCCGTGAAGAAGAACGCCAAGGTGGCCAACGTCAGCGTGCAGCTGGAGATGAAGGCGCTCTGGGACGAGTTCAACCAGCTGGGCACCGAGATGATCGTCACCAAAGCCGGCAGGTCAGAGCGCCCCGCCGCGTCCCGCCCGGAGCCCCCGCGCCGCGCCGCGCCCCTTCCCCGCTTCCTCGGGAGCCAGCCCCGCGCCTGGCGCAGGCCCTGGGCTCCGGGCTCCTTGGTCGGGGGACCCCCGCTCCAGCGCCTTCCCCAGCGGGGCGCAAGGCAAGGCGGGTGGTGGGTGGTGGGCGGCGGGGGGGGCATTCTTTTCCTCCTCCTCCTCCTCCTGGCCCTTCTGCTGGATGGCTTTGCAAGCCGGTATTCAACCCCCCTCCAGAAAAACAGGGCTGGGGGGAGCTGGGTCGGTGTTCGCGCTATCTTGCCCGTGCTGAGCGTTTTGGAAACAACCAACCAAACAAAAAATAAAATTTTAGTCGAGAAGGTTGCAGCAGGGGAATTTCGGGCGACCTAAAGCCGCGCAGGGCTGCACGCTGCGCTCCGGAGCCCAGTGGAATTCGGGGGCACTTACTTCCGAGTAGGAGAGGCGCTTGGGGTTCCGCCGCAGGGCCGCCGGATGCGCGCCTTTGGGAGGAAACCCACGCCAAACATTCGTCTGGTTATCCCGCGCCAGCCTTATTCGAAAGGAAGTCCCTCCGATTTCGCTGCGGCTTAGTGCCAGCAGAGAGTCCGAGTTTGCACCCGTAAACGATTTCCTGGAATGTGTTCTTTACGTTCCCACACATACATAACCATAGACCCCCTTTTCTCCCTTCTCGCTCCTCTCCTATTTTCTTTATTTTCTTCCCTCTAAGACTTTGTTATATATGAATTAACATAAAAAGGCCCCAATCCAAAGTATATTATCTTGCCCGCTTCAAAAAATGTGGCCAATTTCATCACCGTTTGCTTCCAAATAGGAGAGTTGATCCGTAAAAACACTTAGAATTGTTGACTTTCAAGTTTACTTATGTGTGCGATCCAGCCACTGCCAAAATGTTGCTGATTTAGTTTCTTAAAAAAAAACCCAAGCAAAAGACCCAAGAAAATAGGAAGACACAATAATTCTTTGAAAATATATGACTACTGCAATGATGAACAACCAGTTCCATACCCTCGGTGGAATTGTGTGAACAATTTTTAAAAGCTTGTTTTTGAGTCCTACAAAATTCAAGAACAATATGCATTTTTATACCCCTGTCCGGTAGGTTTTTTTCCCCAGAACTAATATTTTGAGGGGTTGGCGGAGGATTACACCCAAGAAAGTGAGCTTAGGTTTGCACCCTGCTTCTCTCTGAACCCCCCCCTTGAACTGTGCCTCCCGACAGATTACTACCCCCCCCATAAATGAAATACCTTCCCCCGAGGTGGCAGTCCAAAAACTAGTTTACCAAATGTAATTGTATTCAGACTAGTTTATCGGCTTTGGCTGCCTGATCGTGGGCATAAGAGTACTTCGCCTGCCGAAAGTGGGATTTTTTAATATCTTAAGTGTCTGGACTGGAGACCCTCAGCGGGTCTCCCCTGAATTCGGTAGAGAGGGGCAAACTGATCCCCAAACCCTCTCAGTCCTTAAAAACCTGATCCTGAAAAACCTTTGAGGGGGGAAAAATATATTTCATCTTACTTCTGTTTGTGAATCACCCTGACGGTCCTATCCATAATCCACTCTTTTGGAAAGATACAAAATCCCCCCTGAACTACTGAAAGCAAGGTAAGGGAGTGGGGCATTGCAGATTTCACAAAAAGAAGCTGTCTGCTTTTAGTCGTATTTCCTAAAATGTTAGCTCCTAGGCTTTGCACTTTAAATCATAATTCTTGCCACTTTTTTTTCTCCTGAGGTTGAGTTCCATTTGGTGTTTACTTATGTCTTCAGTAAATCGTTAATTTTGGGACACACTGATGGGTTTGTTTTGTTTTAATTCCTCCTGCAACATAGCACAGTAAATTAGGATTCCTATATGTACGCCTCTTTAATCAGATCCTTGTAAAATGTGCTGCAAAGGAATGGGCTTAGATTCCCTTGGGGGACAGGCTGAAAACGTTTTATAGGCTTGTTCCTGAATATATATATATATATATATCTTCACTGTTTCAGAGTAACCTGTATTCAGTCATTTATTTTCCTTTAAGGGAAGCTCTGTGCTTTGTCCCAGTGTGGAAAGAAGGGAGGGGGGAATACAGAAAAGGCCTTTTATGCCCGTGGAAGGATACTTAGATTTTTTTTTAGAAACCTTGTGTTTACATTACTTTAGAAAGAATGAAAGAAAGGGAGAAAGGGATTACAGATAACCAGTTCAGAACCTTGTTCATATTTTATTTTGATGTGGCAGAATGCATTTTGCATGTTCGTTCACTTCTTTAACTTAATGTCTCGGTGGAAAAAAGGTAACATTCTCACAGCATTTTGGCCAAACCTTAAAACTATCTGCACAAAAGGCTTTTAAAAGTTGTTTGCTTCAAGTTTATAGAATGATAATTAAATGTGGAGACCCATCCTTAGGCATAATTTAAACGTTTCTTTAAGACAGGATAATTTTCTATTTCGGTCTTGCAATAAAAATAATAACAGAGGACCGGAAAATAAAGGACAATCAAATAGCTAATAATTGGACTTTAACACCCCCTCACCGCTTCTCTGAACTTCCTGCCCACATCAGAAAATCCAAAAGAAAATTGTTTCAGTTTATTATCGGTTAAGCTAAGAGAAGCAGGATCATCTATAACAAATTCACTATTCAGGCAAGATGTGAAGCAGACCCTAACTTCAAAGTAATAAGATCTGAATACGGAAATCACCCTCCCATGCATTGGATGGAAAATTTTAATACTTAAACTTATAACAGAAGGGAACTTTTGGAGATTTGGCTCTCCCCTCTGATCCAACGACGCAAATCTCTCACGTATTTGGTGCTGCGTGTACTGAGTTTCCCTGAATGAGGAAAACTTTCTAGATTGCGCCCGTTTCTTTCACCTTTTGGAGAAGTGTCGTTCACCCGAAGCTTTACCTAAGAGTAGGAACAGAGGGAGGGAACACAGGGAGAAACAGAGCCGCGGGGTAACGGGCTTGCAGCAAAAAAGTACGCTATCTTATAACGCGTCCAGGGCAGGCAATTTAGGGTTTGTAAACTGTCCCTTATTCCCACCCAGCCACACAAAGATATATTTTTCTCCACCAGTTAACCCAGACGGTTAAGTGAAATATTTAACCAGCAGAAATGCAAAAAGGGCCTCGCATTTTCACCTGCGATTGCTTATTAAACAAAAGAAGTGCATCCAATCCTAAGAAAAGACCAATAGGAATTATGAGCAAAGCCAAATACTTTTCCTAGTTCAGTTGCTCTACCCTTCTTCCCCCACACGGCAGTTTTCTCCTGAAATCTGTATAGGAAGGATTTATACAGAAACACCTGTTGGTAGCCAGTGGGCAATAAGAAACAACTTTTCGTACACCCACACGTCTGACTATATATACACAGAATTGTCCCATAAGTCGCTTTCCCCATGAGCGTCAGTGTCTAAATCTCCCCCGGGATATTCAATTGTCTTTTAAAATATTTATGAAAACTGCTGCTCCTTTGAAATACTGCTTTCCATTTGAAATAGATCCTGAATGTAACTTGGCCGGCCCTGACCAGTATTTTTAGGCTTTGGGGAACTGTGCATTATTTCCTGGGAGGTCAGTTTTGGGAAATTGGCCTGAAACCAGCAGGAGAAGCTTGCCGGGTAGGCGGGTGATACAGCAGTGCTCCGAAAGACGAAGCCCTCTAGGTGAAGCAGGAGCTGTCCTGCGTTTTCCTCTCGTGTCTGTGTTTACCCAGAAGTAAGTCCCGGCGCTCTGAATGGAGCTGGCTCCTAAATTAAATGTGCAGAGGACTGCAGCCTTTAAATATATACAGAGGTCGGGAGGGAGAGTGCAAAATAGACATTAGCTGGTCCTTTCCAGTTAACAGAGCAATAAAAAAACGTTTTCTGGAGGATGGAAAAGGAGGATTCTGAAATGGAAGAAAGGTGCCACTGTGTCTCTGCACACACACGCACAGAAAATAGCTAGGCTTGGTTTGATTTGCCTGTTGGACATAATAATAGTAGTGGTAATGATCATGGTAATAATAATAATGGGTACTTTTAGGACTCTATAATGGAGGCGTGTGTTTATGCGTGTGTTGGGGAGCCGTGTTAGCACCTAGAACCCGGGCAATTGTTCCAGCTGGATGGGACAGTCGCCACCCTTCAAGGGGTTAATTTTGTAGCATGGAAACTACTCTCCCCTCAGTTCTCCTGGGTTATTCTGTCTATAGCTTACATGAACCGGTCTGGCCTTCTTTGTTGCTTTTCTAAGCAAGTTTGGGGAGAGTTGTTTGTTTTTAACTTTGCTTTTTGTTTTGGATTAGACCGTCAGTTCCTCATCCGGAACCTGTTAATGTGATCGCCTCATTAGTTTCCTCCCAGCCAGGTGCCCTCCAAGATTGGCTTACAGCTCCTATCATCCCCAGCCAGCAGGGTCCAAAAACATGGGGGGCACCAGCTTGGGGAAGGCAGCTTGATTTTACGCTGGAATGACTTGCTGCTTTTTAAAGAAAACAAAAAGACCATCCTCATTTATTTCAATCGGATCTGCTTTCTAGTGAACATAGTTAAAGGAGAACAAAAATATTCTCTTCTGGACTCAGGAAAAATAGCAAAAATCATATTAGGACAATACTGTTATAACCGTGCAAATGCAAATTGAAATTCATTTCTTCCAGAGGGCAGCGGGGCCCTGAGAGTGTGGACTCAATTGTGCCAAGGCCTCTGCACCCCCCACCCCTTTCAGCCTATTCTGGTGAAAAAGCTAGTTATACATTGTTGAAACAAACTAAAATGAATTTGAGATACACTCTTGTTGAATGTGGCCATCTCAACTTTACTCAGGAATAACAACATCAACAACACCCCTGATCTCAGTAAAACTCACTTCTGAGTAACACTTTTTATAGAGGTGTGTGCAGCTCTTATCCTGAACAGAGACTGAACAATCTGGGTTTCATCCAGTTTCTGTTCTCAGTGGCCACAAAAGAATTAAGATGTGAAAATGTGAAAACTCTACCAACTGTAATCAGAGATCTGTTTAATTTTATTTCCCCCACTCCCATTCTGTGCAAATAAGCGCCTCAGTTCAATTATAAAATTCTACAACAATGGTGGGAATGGAGGAACCAAAATCTTAAAAGGGGCAAACAAATAAATTCAATTCTGAGATAGGTTTCTAGTCCCTGGTGTGCATAGATGACTTTCTCTGCTGTATACTTTTGCATTGAACAGCCTGGTTTATTAACGGTTCCCCATATCCCCCTGGAGTTTTAAGTCAGGTTTTCTCAAGTGAATTAGTTTAAAGTTGTGATTCTCTCTCACATGCACACGCACACAACATATGTACAGAAGTCTGAGGTTGACATGCTTCAGCATCCTTGATCAGCTAACTCAGGCCTGGAACATAAGAAGAAGAGAATATTTGCTTGTTGTCTATTTGGAAGCTTTTAACCAAGTTCTGTGCAATGGTCTGTTCATTTTCCCCTTGAAAGCTGGCTTGTTTTGGAGGTGGTTAGACACTGTAGCAAAAGTCTCCCCTTTGTAAATGTGCACACATACACAGAACCACATGTGTGTGTGCATTCTAGTACCAAGAAAAACTTTAGTGAGAAAAAAGCCCTCGAACAGAAGCAGCAGCTGACTCAATCCGTGGTCCAGAGTTCTCCTTTGCTTTGCAGCCTGGGCCCTTCCTAACGGAGGGACTGATTTAACCCCACTGGGGTGAAAAAGCAACTTCCAGAGCCTGTGGCAGCCCATCCAACCAAGAATCGTGTGGCATCTTTGAAGTGGACCTGGGAGTTGAAGATGGGCTTGGATTTATTGGGATCAACAGCAAATCCCTGGGTGATTTGTAGTAGATCAGGAAAGGTTTCTGATGCCACCAAGCGACTCCCTTCCCACTCTAAATTATGCAACTAAAATGAAGACAAAAGATAACAAGGAACCGATTTCTGTGTTGAAAGACTGAAGCTCAGTTTGGTACTGGTACTCAAAAGAAATTCCTGGGATGAAAATTCCATCCCAGGTTCCAGTTGTTGGATCACACGAAAAAAATAAGCAGACAAACAAAGTAGATCACACGAAATGTGATGTCTGCCCGAGTCTGCTTTTTAAGACCCACCAGTTTCTGCTGGCCTAAACGTTTCCATGGACCAGAGGTTCATTTCACCTTAGAGGACCTGGAGACTACAAAAGCAGTCTTGACTTTATCCCAGCAGGAGGCTGTGTATTGAGCCTAGCCTAACTGTGTAACTGAGCTCGCCAACAGTTAAGCACAAATTCTCCAAGCTGGGTTTCTCTCTGGAGGCTCCACTGGCTCAGCTGAAGCCAGCTTCAACTGGAAACAAGCCCTGTCGATTTCAGTGTGGAATTAATGCCTGCATCCTGGAGAGAGGAAAACTCTTGCCCCAGAAACTCTATAACAACCAGTAAAAGCAATTCTTCCGGCACTGCTCCCAAGTTTACTCCGGGATAAAACCTGCCCATTTTTAAAATAATTAGCTGTTCACTGCCTTTTTGTTATTTGCCAGCCGCTTGCAACTCATGCCCTGTCCAAATCCCAGGTGATTGATAGATCGATCGATCGATCGATCGATCGCCATGTGTCTTGTTCTTCCAGATCGTTTCATGATGGCTCAAACTGAAAATTAAGCTTGAGCAAAGAAAGTAAAAAGCAGTTTGGAAAAGAAAAGCTAAAAATCTTTACAGTCAGACTCTACGCAATTTATTTCAGTTGGATTTACTCACGAGCAAAGGTGCTTTGTACAGTGCCCTTTTTCCTAATAACTCCAATAGCCTGTCGATTTCAATGTGGAATTAATGGCTGTGTCCTTGTGCACAACAAACGTGTGTCCGCACACCCATGAACACGCGTCTGTTTGGAGGACTACAACTGAATGGCGCCCACAGTCCTTACATGCACAAAATCCCACTCTCAGTTACCCCAGACTTTTCCTGTTCCAGCAGTCTAAGGTGGGGACCACTTGATATTTCTATAGTTAAATGGCTGGGAGTTAGATATAGTTGTGTATCACCCAGAGAACTGCAAGAAGGTCCAGCAAAAACAAGCGTCTCTTGGCACCTTAAAGTCTAACAGATAAATTTATTCTGCTGGAAGCTTTTGTGGCCTGCAGCCCCACTCACCCAGACACAGGGAGGGTCATGTTTTCAGATTCCTATCTTATACAGACTTTACTTGTTTGTGCTATGACAGACTCACAAGGCTGCACTCTGGAAAGTGTAACAACTGACCCAGATCTGCCTTCTCTTCACCCCTTGCTTAAAGACACCTGCCTTTAGGTGTTCCTGAATAGCACCCCAAGCTGAAAACTGGGAGTACATGAGCCGTTAGGCTGTAGGCTGGGCTAGGCTTTGGAGGAGCACTAGTCTCAATATCCATCCAGGCCAGAGGTGGAAGCACGATGGGCTGCATGCAAATACCACCGGAGAGCAGGATTGTGTGTGTGTGGCTGATCACCCTATGCATTGGTGTTACCTGTCGCTGGTCTGGTTTGCAGCATTTTTCTTCAGCACCTGCTCTTCTCTGTACATGAAGGCAGGCATGCTGACCGCATTCGTTTGGCTGTGTCATTAAGGTTGATGGGGTACCTTACTCCAAAATATCATGCTCCAGTATGCACTGTGGGTCTCAGTAGGTCTTACTTCCGGGAACGCACCTGTAGAGATTCAGGCAACACGGGTGAGCTCCAGCTTAGGATCCACTTACACTAGATAGGAGGAAAATGCAGCTTTTGCTTTAGGTCTGTTTCTTTTTGACTGGGTGGTGGCATTTCGGGGTGGCATTCTTACAGCAAACGTGAGAATTTCTCATCCTGCATGGCCCAGTTCACCCCTTGAAAGCAGTGGTGAGGCTTGCAAAATGCAAAATCAGCTCAGGGTAGTCGCAAAATGCCGAGTGATTGTTGCAAGGGAGACAGAAAAAGGCGATGGGGAGGCAGGAAGTAGCTGGAATCCCAAACCGAAGCTGCCTATGCTGCAACATTTTGTTGCAGAGCTCAGTTATCCAGTGTCAATCCATTCCCATCCCCTTGGAAGAGCATCTGTTTTGCACCAGATCAAACTATTTCTCACTGACATCCAAGACTGTGTCCTCCGACCACCAGTAGCTCTCCAAGATTTCAGGCCAAGTGTTGTGATCTGACCTGACGACAAATAAATAAAACTGGAGATGCCAAGAATCGTACCTGCACTCTACCCCTGAGGTATGGAGGGTCACTCTCCAATTGTGTCCAGTGGCATTTTTATGGTGGGCCATTATCTTTTTATCCTTAACGTGCAGTACATCAAAGGCTGAAGTCCCCTTAAGTTGAGGGACTCCTAGACTTCCATTTCCAAGGGGTTTCTCCTCTGTTTCTGATCCGGTCCATTTCTCCCAGCCCACCACCACACTTGGTCGGTCGGCATGACAATACAAACCTGACTGCAGTTGGGATTTTTTTTAAAGCCGAGTTCTTGCTATCACAGCCAGTTAATTTCTTTCCAAGGGAATACGTTGGCTTTAACTGGCCTCATCCAGACCATTGCCTTCCAGGCGCTGGCATCTAAAAATGGCACCAGGTTGCAGAAGGCTAGTAAATCAAATAGACTTCCAAGGCTGTTTGTTTTCCATCGGCTGCCTTCCGTTGGGACTGGCTTCCAACCAAGCCATTTTTGCTGGTGGGTGTGTAATTTGGTTATTATTAGAATGACACTGTAGGAAAAAAAGTTGGAATTTTACTAGGTTGGCCGATCCACCTTGCTGAGCACTGTCTGTTCTAACAGTTCTCCTCCAGCGCTCTTTTCCACCTATCCACCTTTTCCCCCTTTTTCTATCAGAGGTAGAATTCGGACTTTCTGCGTTCAAAACAGTGCTAGGTTGGGGCGCAGGAAGCATGCCTTCCAAAGGCGGGAAGACTTCCTGTCTCACCTCTCCTCAACCTGGCACCCTCTACGTGGCTGGACTGCAATTCCCATCAGACCTAGCCCACTGGGGATAATATGACTTGCAGTCCAACACATGTGGGAGTGGGGTTTCAGATTGGGGAAGGCTTCCCAGTTAGACCACACAAAGTAATTTGGTTGTACCAATCTTAGTCCAGTAGACCCACTGAAATGAATGGGACTTGAAGTCACGACTAACTTAAGCTTCCATTCTTTTAAGTGGGTTTACTCTAAGAAGTAATAAGATAAAACTCTGTGTGTATATGTATGTATTTCTTTACTGGTTTATGTTGGTTTCCCCACCCACCATAGGCAGTGGTTCTCTCAACTCAGATTTATTTATAAGATTTATATACCGCTTCTGGAACAGGGAGCAATAAAAAGGTGAAAAGAAAAAAAACATACTATAACTTTATTTTAAAGGCAAAAGCAATGTCATCTGTACGTTGCAGATTGGTCAAGGTGGGCATCTTCCTGAAAGATCTTTTCATGAACACCCAAAGCAACAGCATGGTGGTGCTTACCTGACCTCCAGCGATGGGGAGCCCCACAGAAAGGGGGTCACCCCACCAGGGAGATTCCAGTGGGACATAGGTCTGTGGGAAACCCAGAGCAACATGCCCCCTGACGACCCTGTGACTGGGCAGGTTGGTAAGGAAAGGGTGCTTTCTCATTTCTCACTCTTTTTATTGTTACTATTATTCCAGGCGAATGTTCCCCACCTTCCAGGTGAAAATTTTTGGAATGGACCCCATGGCTGACTACATGCTCCTGATGGATTTTGTCCCAGTGGATGACAAGCGATACCGGCAAGTATCCCAGCGCCTCCTCTTGCTGGCCCAGTTATATTTCTCCCCTCTAACTTAAGTTCAAGGCTGTTTACATATCCTAGGAACCAGTGCCAAACTTACGTGATAAAACCACAGAAAGGCAGTGCATTTCTGCCAGATTTTAGTGGATTTTATAATATTGTGAATTTGCAAGTGGTGGAAGTTTTGGCCAAAGTAGTACATAGAATTTGAAAGGCGGGAGAGACTTTTGCATCTGAACGAAGGATACAAGATGGACATACAATTCCAAGCAGCAGTGCTCCGAGATTAGTATCCAGACCAGGCCAGCTCGCTTGTCTATTTTTTAAATTAATTTTATTATTTTATTTTACTTGTCAAAAAGCCAACAAGGCAATACCTAAAATTTGAATTTCAGTTTCGATTGCTTTAGGCTGCTATGATAAACCCCATTTCCTGGGAGAAATCCCTATTGAGTTCAATGGGTCTTCTGGGAAGCCCCATATGGATTTCTCTATTAGACTCTTATACAATCTCTCTCTCTCTCTCTCTCTCTCTCTCTCTCTCTCT